TTGGGGCTTGGTTTGTTGGTGGCCTATGTGGTTGGACATCGATTCTAATTGTTCCATTTTGCCTTTCCTTTTGATTATTTGTATTAAAGAGTTGCCTGATGTCGGTGTTCTTTCAGTAATTGGTTTCCACCTAGAAGATAAAGGAAATAAAGACACTATTTCTATATTAAGCAAGAAAAGTGTTCCTCCATTAATCACTTGTTGTCTTTCCTCAATTAAAAGGCCAGTCTGCGTCCTTTGAAACAATTCAAATCCATACTTCGAAACTTGTTCCATGTCTCTATTATTTCGTTGTCCATTATATATCATTACTAGGTGGTGATGCCGCGACTTATCGTGAGGCGTACATGACATATGGACATGTATTCTGTACCCCGTTATACTGTTTTGTTAGTATTATTAGTCTAAAATTAATTTTTTGTTAGCAGTTTTGTTAGTAATATTGACTGAGAAATATGGCGGTCAACATCCATTTTATTTATTTATTTATTTTTGAAAATTTTGGATAATAAATGATATTTACCTGAACCCAAGTAGACCAATTGATTTTGAGTAGGACATGAGTGACGTATATATGAGTTTAAGAGTTTGTAGATGGGTTTGCGTAGGGTATGGATATTTATTTTCATAATCTAAATGTGCATGAGTTGGGTATGAATACCCATTTAATTTATTCGAGAGTGTTTTATTTACACACACATACACACACACACATATATATATATATATATATATATATATAAATTAGACCTATTTATAGAACTACAAAAGTTTAGGTGCCAAAATATAATACACAAAAAATTATAGGTACTAAAAGTAACGTCCCATCAATATTTTGAGGACTATATGCCAAAAAAAATAAATATAGGTTATAAATCTAAAGATCTATTATGTTTAGGTACAGAACTATAATTTGCATAGTTGAGACTTAATTTCTTTTATAGTGATGTATTTAAGATGATAATTATTTACTTTTTTTTATAGAAAATGAAAACTATTTATCTAATATGTGTAGATACCTAGCCAAATATTCCATATATAATTGTTAAAAATTCTAGCCCGGGTGAAAAAGAAAAACTCTAGAGAGAAGTAAAAGGAATACAAACTGGAACTCGCTTAAAATTTTACGCCTTCTAATCCCGTAGTGGAAAATGACGACTTTGTAATAAGTAATAACCATATATATTTGCTTTTAATTGGACTCGACATTGAACTAAAAAAGTTAATGGTTCATGGTTCAGTTATTAATTCTCTAGACTGTTAGTCAGTTGTGCATGGACTCGTTCATACTTGTGATTAGAATGCATAAAAATAATAGTATACTAATTAGGGTTGGACGAAGAAGGCAAAGAAAGAAATAAAGAAAGGGTTATGGAGGCGAGTGAAAAATGAAACGAAGAGGAAGTAGATGATGGAAAGGTTTTGACCAATTCTTTTAGTTGGCCGTCAATACTACAGTCAACCCTTTTCGCCGTAGCAATTTATTGACACTTGCTTATGTAGATGTCACATATTTTGTTACATGTAGTTAGTAGAAGTTTGTTTAGTACCCCGTAAATGTACTAAATGAGTTATAAATTCGCTTTGCAATATTTTAGAGTCGTCTCTCTTTTATAATTTATTTTATGTTTCATATAATGAGCACATACAAAATGGTCGAATCTTCTCCTACTATTGAGTGATACAACATATTGTATGGTACAAACTAAATTTATATTTTTATGTTATGGTGGATTGGACTCATGGATTGGTTCAAAATGATTGATGGATTGGATTCATGAATCCAAGTGAAATCTAAACATTGACCAATATGTAAGTATTGGACCAATATGTAAATTTAAAAAAACTCATAAAATGTAGATATCAAAACATAATTGTTCAATGATTTTAAATTAAAATTAAATTTGGGTATCAAAATGTAAAATGTACATTATAGTGACTAAGTTATAATTAAATTAAATTTGGGGTATCAAAATATAAAATGTAAAAAGAAGCGAGGTTTAATATATATAAAGAAGAAGTGAAGTACTAAGTTGTAATTTATTAGACAACAGTAACCTCACTTCTTCATTATATATATTAACAATTCACAATTTGGTTGCAAGAAAATACAAGGATTATTGAAACTTCACAACATAAAATATTGTTGGCTCCTTAATAGATAAAAGGTAGATAGACTCATTTCCTTGTGATTCCTTTACTATCTCTTATCTAATAGCTAGCAACTAAGGTTTCCTCTTGCACTTTGTATGTCTTAGCAAGTTCTTTCATTTTGGAAACCATCTCTTGTTGGTTTTCTTCCATTGTCTGATGAAAGACTTCAACTTTCGGACCTTTCATCTTAGTTGGATAGCTCCCTTGTTTGACGTGAGTGCAACCCAGATGGATAGTTTAGCTCTCTACTCATTATTTCACAATTACATTTCAGTTGCTTATACTGAAGTAATCAAATTTCCGTCTTTTCAGGTTGAGAAGAACTCTCTTTAACTTGTGCAAATGATCCTCATAATCATAATGACATACATGCTGACAATATGGATGCAACTAGTCCAAATGAAATCAGTGTTCATCCTCATGAAAATGTTGTATGTAACTCTTGAACGTTAATATTCCTGGCAAAAATAGAGGATTAGGGGTTAATGGTTTGATGTTCGATTTCATTGACACAACTGAAAATATTTACACCAATTACAACAAGTATATGTGATTTAGTATTAAAAACGAGATAAAAAGGTTAAACAAATATGAATGAAGTAAGGCCAGTGACAAGAGTGAGATGTCTTGCTTCATTCAAGGTGATATTTGATAGAAAATATGCAAATTACAATGTAGCTGAGTTTATTCTCAGCAAGGTTGTCAAGGGTTGACCCGGACCCGGTTGAGCTAGTGGGTTAAGGGTTAATGGGTCACCCGGTTTAGCCCGGAAATATGGAAAGCGTCACTATATTGTACTTATCCTGATAAATTATATCAAATCTCATCTAACATATGAGTTATAACATATAATATTACACCAAAATAACATGTCGTACTTAGATTCAACATATAGTGAAAATTCATACACACTTATATAACATTAATATTCAAATGTTCAACTTAGGATTCCAAAGATTAAGTTAGGCAAAAAGAAAAATCGGAAAATAGGCGCATTTCGCAAAACAAAGAAAAAGATGACACAATTTGACCTCCAACCCGGTACCTTGTAACGGTTGACCCGGTGGGTGCGTGCGGCCCGTTTTTCTCACCGAGTCAGGATCAAAGTGGGTCGACCCGCGGGTTGACAACCTTGATTCTCAGGCACAATCACAATAGAGTTCTGCCTCAAAAAGTGTTGTTCTTATGCTCTCGTCTATCAATGAAAGATGTTGACAAGACACAAGTGGAGTCATTGTGAGTGTGTATGTGAAACCGAGCCAGTAATGGATTTGAGAGTATATGTAGTGGGGGATATGATAATGTTGATATTACACTTACACTATGTTCATTTGCAAAAGAAAAGGAGGGGAGGGTAGGAAATGAGGGAAAACATCAATTCCCAAAATACTTTCCAACGTTTTTTAGAATTAGAATAGTGACAAAGGGGAAGGAAAAGGGGGATAGGGGTACTGTTCCACCCAACTCCCCAATTTGGGGAGAAAAGAGACAGAACCATTAATTCCCCACCCTTTTTATTATTTGCCTATCTCCTCCTATCTCCTCTCTCATCTATCTTCTTCCTTCTCCACTAGCAAAGAGACGAACCAGTGAAAGAAAAACAGAGCCTTTTGTTCTTTCTCCACAATCTTTCTTTTCTTTTGTTCTTCTTTACCAGCCATCTTGCTCCCACTGCACAAATAATGGCAGCAAATCTATATTTCAACCATCTCCCATAATATATATCCTACCTTCCATTCCATTAATCGAAAATCTGCCATCTCTCCATCAATGAAGTTTTTTTTTTGTGCGAGAAGCTCCCTCTTCATCGTTCTTCCTTTTGAAAAATCAAACTCATTTCTCTCGTTTCTGTGGCTAATCTCGATCTGTCATCTATTTTTCCTTTGTTGATTTTCTTCAACGAATCAGAACTTCTCTTCTTTTCCTTTTTCCCCAAATCAGAAAACTAGGGTTCACAGGAGAAGGGGATGATGTTACAGTGAGCAGTGAGGCTGCTCAAGTCTAGGGATCCATATATTCCCTCCTATGGCAAAAACCACTGATTCCTTCCTACCCTAATATCAGTATATTCATCGCCAACAAAGTCCAGCATCTAACTCAAAACAGATCCCCTTGGCTGCTGCTGAACTTTCGCTCTTCTTCCCAAACCAGAGTTGTCCCAGTCTGCTTCATTCTTCTATGGCCAACCGCTGAAAAACATAGCATTCTCCGATGTCCATGGTAAGAAACTCTAGCCCAAATTTCATCATCTTACATTTTCCCCCAAATCAGAAAAGCTAGGGTATAAAATTATTGTTTCTATTTTACAGGTTGCTACTGTTGCTTTGGGGCACTCTGTTTTTTCCCCTCTCTCGGTCGTTCTGGGCTTCTAGGAGACTTACGCTGGCTTGAGGTTGGGGGAAAATATTGTCCGTTGTTGACGCCACAAGGTATGTTGCTCTACTGATTGCCGACTGCATTATACCGGTTTGACTTAGGCTGCTGCTTCTAATTTTTCTCAGTTTATGATATAAACTGAACAGTTAGTTGTTTGCATTGTCGCCTCCTTTATGTAGCTCTAGTTACCCTTTGTTGAATCTATTTATTTGTTAGGACTAGATGGTTTTGATTCTTTGATCTTTGGTTGTTGTGACTTGTGATTGTGCTTTTACAGGTTGCTCTTTTCTTTTGTTTAAGATGTTTCATGGTGCTTATTTGTTAGAACTAGAACTTGACTTTAAAAAGAGAACATCGTGATTTAGCCACTAGAGTCATTCATATGCGGATGAATGTATATATAATATGTGTGTTGAATTAATTTTACAGCATTAACATAGCAACTTAATTATCCTTGGTGATTTGATTAGATGGATAGAGAAGCTCAAGATTCAAATGAGATTGAAGATCATATTACTGATGGGTTGGAAGAGATTTTAGATTTGCATGGAACAGAACAAGATAGTTGGAGAATTGTCATGGAAAATTGGCAGAGACAAAGAGATATGTGTGTCATACAACTTATTTGCTACATTGTCTATGCATTGCATCTATTAAATAGACAAGCCTCCAGTGGATCTTCGGGGTTGAGTTTTCAAGTAAAAGAGGATAAAAGAAGAGATTTTCTGAAAGAATTGCGTAACCATGAAGTTTCATGTCGTGCAACATTACGCATGGGGGTAGATGCTTTTGCTATTTTTTGTGAAAAATTACCGGGTACGGGAGTGTTGCAAGATTATAATCGTGCCACAGTGGAAGAACAAGTAGCAAGATTTTTGTCTATTCTTACCCAAACTGGTGGCAAGTATCGCAATCTGGCTTTCTATTATCGTCGAAGTATTGGGACTGTCAGTAGGCATTTTCATAATGTCTTGCGAGCTGTTATAAGTTTAGCACCACAATTTCTGAAGCAACCTAGTGCAACAACGCCAGTGTCCTCCATAATAGGCAGTAACTCTAGATTTTTTCCATACTTCAAGGTAATTATTCATTACTTCCATTGTGTACATAGTTCCATATCTTAAAGTGTCTTTCAAAATCATGTATACTTAGATGTCTGCATTTATATCTCCTCAGGATTGCATTGGGGCTATTGATGGTACCCACTTTCGAGTGAAAGTAAATCGCGCTAGTCAAACTCGTTTTAGAGGTCGGAAAGAGTGGACTACTCAAAATGTTTTAGCTTCATGCAACTTTGACTTACAATTCCTGTACGTTTTAGCTGGGTGGGAAGGGACAGCATCTGATTCAAGAATTTTAAAAGATGCATTGGCTAGGCCACATGGGCTTGTAATACCGGAAGGTATGTCATGCAGCATAATTATCCTAGTATGTGTTTCACCATTACTTGCATCATTCTTCTTTTTATTAATGTTTTTTATAAACTATAGGGAAATTCTATCTCGGAGATGGTGGGCTAATGTTACGTGCTTCGTTGTTAACACCATACAGACGTGTTCGGTATCACTTAAAGGAGTATTCCCGTAACGGTCCTAAGAATGCTAAAGAATTGTTCAATCATCGTCATGCTAGTCTACGTAACTCGATTGAAAGATGTTTTGGGGTGGTGAAAAAGAGATTTCCTATTATTGGCACCGGTATGGAGCCACAATATTCTTTCGGCACAACTACCGACATTATCCTAGCTTGTTGTATCATACATAACTTTCTTATGGGAGTCGACCCCGATGAGCAACTAATTGCAGAAGTTGATCGAGAACTCGAGCGGGTGCAAAGGCAAAATGAGCTACAATGTGAAGAGGCAACAAGAGCTGGATTAGAATTACGTGATAGTATAGCAGAACACATGTGGCATGATTATAATATGCAACAAGGTTGACATGTGTTTGTAGCTAGGTTATTACTTATATTTACTTGAATGGATGTTATGTACAATTTGTACTACTTATATTTATGTTTGATGTGTTCTAGTACATTATTCCACGTGAGAGGCTTTTGTGCCTTTATTTATGTCTACTTTATTTTTCCCCAGTACTGAAGTACTTGCAATTATGCCTATATCCACTTTCTAGTTGTGATGACTAATATTCAACTTTTTTTAAAGGAAGCACAATGAGCAAAAGAACAAAAGGGAAGCAGACAATTGTGGGGGAGACATCCACTAAGGAGAACCTACAATGGACAGAGGAGATGGACACTGCTTTGTTGGAAAGTCTACTAGCCGAGCAACATAAAGGGAACGGGCAAGAGGGCATGTTCACAACTCATGCTTATAACAATGTTGTTATTGCTTTGCGTGGGCTGTTTTCACATAATTTCGACAAGGAGAAAATAAAAAATAGGCAGAAGACAGTGAAAAAGCACTTTGCAACTGTGAAAGACTTATTCCATAACATGAGTGGCTTTGCATGGAATCCGGTAACCAAACTTTTTGAAGCTGAACCAGAAGTATGGAAGCAACTAATTCAGGTATATGGTCTATTCTTTTCCGGATTTGCCTTGACTTTCCAATCACATACATATTATTATAATATTCATTATTGTAATGTAGGAGAAGCCGAATGCTAGCAGATGGATTAGGACCCCCATCAACAACTATGACAAACTCTTTGAGTTGTATGGGGAGTTTAGAGCAACCGGAGAAGGAGCTGCAAGTGCATTTGAGAGGATTGAACGTTGGAACATGAGGTCTCCTGCATTCGACATTGATTTGAATAACATGTCAGGAGATGATGAAGGTATGAATGCCTATATTCCATCACCTTTTACACCTCGTGAAGGCACAAATGCATATAGCTCCGATGGTAGATCTTCATTTACTCCTGATCCTCCACCATCAGTCGACTCTCATGGTACTACCTCTTCAAAGGGAACCAAAAGAAAAGCTCCTATGGTAGATGTATCTGCCAATCAATTTGAGGTCATGGCTGTCAACATGAGTAGGATGGCATCAGGTATAGAGAAAGGTAATGTGATTGCTGAACGATCTGCCAAGGCTATGGAGAAAGGAAATGAGATTAAAGAGAGGTCTTTGGTGATTCTCGACCATCATAAGACTCACATCTACAAAGAGGGAGAAATTTTCCAAGAATTGCAACGCTATGATATTCCTGGAGAAATGAGGTTGAATGGCTATAAGTATCTAGAAAAAAATCCGGATACCACAAGGGCTTTATTTGGCTTGCCAGAAGAGTATCGACAACAATTCATTGTTGATTTGGCAAAAAAACAAACCTTCTGGCAAGTTGACTTTTGATGTGGTCTAGTAGCATGTTACCTAGTACTAACAGGTTGCCATCTTTAGGACGAACTTATGTAAGTATAGTATTATCAGGTGACCTTATTTTTGGACGGATTATACTATGTATCTCTAGTATTAGCAGATGCATTTGGACGGATTTATGCACTTCTAATATTAGCATGTTACTTAGTACTAACAGGTTGCCTTCTTTTGGACGAACTGATGTAAGTCTAATATTATTATGTGACATTCTTTTGGACGTGTTGTATTATGTATGTCTAGTATTAGCGGATACCTTTATTTTGGATGAATGTATGTACTTCTAGCATGTGACCTTATGTTTGAAAAATTACTATTATCCTGTTGCTTTTTGGACAATTTATGTATCTGTAATTTGTTGTATGTTTACATATTTAGTTGCTATGTTATTACTCAATAAAATAGTTAACAAATTTTTTTTAATAGGTTGACAAATTTCATTCAAATAACCAACTTTTTATTTGTTGTAGTTAACAAAATTAACAAAGAAGAACAAATTTGATCCACATTACATAATTAATGTAAATAGTATAAACACATAATTAAATCATTTAACTATTCTATCATCAATAAAATATAATACATATCACAATTCCCAATCTACTTTTTCCCTCCCACTTTCCCTTCCACTTTCCTCCATTAAACAACATTTTCTTTCCAATTCTCTCTAATTTCCCTCCCTTCCAAACTTAACCTCCCCTCCAAATTTTCCTACCCTCCCCTCCTTTTCCTCCCTTCCTTCGGAAACATAGTGTTAAAGGATTGTATGATACCGCTAATGAAGGTCAAAATTTATAGTTGCATAGTGATGTTGAGAATGCATTAGCATACTTACGTGATGACATTGATTCATATGACATACTGACACTTGTTTCGGGATGACTCCCCTAGTCAATTCGATTACTCTTGCTTTACTGAAGTGTTAGTTTTTTTTTTACTAATTTTATTTAACAAACGCATACAAAATGCATTGACTCACACAAAACACCACACTAGAAATCCCCTCTAATGCCCAAGTTTTTAAACTCTAAAGGGGTGGAGCATAGGGCAAGTAAGTTTTATTTATCAACCCGGGGCAATCCATGTACCCCTACTTCAATCGCTTATGTTGTTATCTAGCAAGCAAATTTTGGGTTTAGAACTAATGGAACTACAAACTAAACAAGCAAAGAAAAGTAAATAAAGGAAAATTCTAACTAAGGGAGCTTCACCCAAGAGTTTCTTCCCCCTAACTAGCTACCATGACTCGTTGGATTGAATGGAGTCGTGTGGTGTAGGTGGTTGTGAACGTGAGGGTGAGCAACTAGCGATCGATTTGTCACGGAATCAATTCACTAGTGATCGATTTGTCATGGGATCGATCCACTCACCACGTCTAGGGGAACCGCTAGGAGGAGCAACTAGTGATCCATTTGTCACGGGATGGATTCACTAGAGATCGATTTGTCACGGAATCGATCCTCTCACTCAGTCTCTAGGGGTTGCCTAGGGCTCTCCCTCAAACCGGAGTTTGAGCGACTTAATCACAACCAATCTAGATGAAAACTTGAGTCAAGGGGGATGCTCATTTCTAACCTAGATAGTAGGCGCAAAGTGCCTAGGAAAACCTAGCTTGTCAAGCCTACCTGAAAAGGTGTGGTTTTCCTCTAATCTAGGTTAGGCAAGCACACAAGATTTGGAAAGCACAACTAAGCACAATCACCATGAAGTGATAAGCTCCAATCCTCGAGCTTCTTGATCAGAGTCGAGCAGCTTCGAGAATTCACAATAACTGACCTCCGATGGAAGCCAAAACAGGGGTTGATGGTAAGATGGATGTCGAACGTGCAACTTCTCGCCAAGAATTGGGAAGAGGCTCGATCGAACTAACGTCGTAACTCGTCCACGATCGGGGTGATGATCGATCGATGCTGAGCTCGCTTGTTCGGTGGAATCAATTCCACACAACCAAGGACAATTCACGAGAATGACTCGATGAACACAAAAGTTGATTTGATTAAAACGTGCCTTCAATTACAACACAAACTAAAGCTTAAATAGAACCTAGCTAGCCTCGTGAACAAGGGAAATCGTCATAATCCTATTACAACTCGAAAACCTAAGCTGAAACACAAAAGGAAATAGCAATCCGAAACACTTAAGGAAAGAAACTCTTTTCTGCAGCTCCACGTCACCAACAGCCTGGATGCAACCTTTGAGGCCTTTGACTGATGACTTCCAGGTGCACTTTCAATCATCCAACGCCTCTTCTATGTAGATTAAAGTGCATAGATTCATGGGGTATGAAGCCCCTAACTCGAAGCTCAATCACGCGCCTGGGATAGCACGTCAAAGTAGCCTCTCTGGACTCGGTTTTACACTTAGGCAGATTCAGCCTGTTTTCCTGTATCGAGATCCCATTTTGTCGAGCCTGAAAATGGACCTTCCAAGTTTCCCCTTGAACTAACAAGCCTTCCAGCACATAGACAAGCACTTGAAATTCACAACAAACTTCCAAACTCTCCATGCCATTGCTCCAATGAGAAGAACCGAGCTCGCAAAGTACCCTTCCTGAACTCGTCCAAAGACTTGGCCAAAATTCCATATTGTTCAAAAAATTTGGGTTACCTTCTCGAGCAAGTAATTCCAGCTTGGTGAGGAGGCAATCCAGGGTTGTATCATGAAGACACCTCTGATACTCAAATTGATGCAAACCCATACAAAATCATTCAAGCTAAGCAAGTAATTACAAAGTATTAGTTAGGGATCTACAACACTCAAGAGAAAAGAGTGAGTTTTTAAAGAGAGAGAGGAGAGATTACAAAGAAACCTCTAGATCTTCTTCTTCTTCTAGGCTTGATTTCTTGATCCCAAACTTGAACAATGCCTTAAGCTCCAAGATCATTCTCTCACTCTCTAGAACTCCCCTATGGTGTTTTGGATCGAAAACCTAGAGAAAGAAACCAATTCTTCTCCAAAAACCAACTCCCCCTTCTCTCTCCCTGTTGTTGTCTTCATATTTGCCCGAAAGTGACCAGTTCACAGATGTGTTGGCCAATTCACGGTCGTGAACACCTAAACGCGTCCGTGAACTCTGTTTCATATCCAAAACACATCGCTTCGCTTCTGTTGTTCACGGTCATTGGCCCCAGTTCACTGTCTTAGCGAATATGAACTCCCTTGACGTTAGTAACCTTTGAAACCTCGCTGGACTGCTCGATGTTCACGGTTTGTGGCTCCAGTTCATGGTTTTAGGAGACTGTGAACTCCCTTGTTTGACCGTGAATTGCGGCTGCTTCCTGGACACCTGTACTTCACTGTTACGGGGCAATTGTCAAGGTGACTTCGGACTTTTCTTTGGTTTTTGCGCTTTTTGACCTCCAATCAACCCAAAATTTGACCTCGACCCTTCCACACGTGCTAGGACCTAAAACGTATCAAAACAAGCAGAACCTAGCGTGAAATATGTCGAGGAACAATGAAATACTAAGCTAAAGAAATAATAAATGATGGGTAAAATGTGTTCAATTGGGCCCAAATCATGCCTCTTGTTGTATTTCTTAGGGTGACTCACCATCATGCAACTAAAATATTTGGGATTGCTTGGGGTGAATCGCCATCATGCAATTAAGCACCCAACTGTGGTGATTACTGATGGTGTAATTCGATGAAGAGGGCCACTAAGAATTTGATGCCTGATGCTATTCATAGAATTTATTATTGGAACTTGAGGAGGAAAGCATAATCAAATGTGAGTCCCAAGGAGTTTCTAAAAGTGTTTGACGTTATTGAAAGGATTGACTCTATTGAGGAATTTGAGGATGAATGGAGGAAGAGTATTGAGGAGTTCTAGTTAGGAAGAAATGAATGGTTGTCAAAATTGTGTGAGAAGCGATATAGAAGGTCACAAGCATTATTTAGTAGCACATTCACTACTGGAATGAAGAGCTTGCAACATCTTGAAAAATGAACTCATATTTAAATCATTTTCTAGGAAGGAAATTGAAAGTGTATAGGTTAGTTTCACAATTTGATAGAGGTCTTCGGAGGTTGGATACAAAGAGGTAACTGAAAGGTTTTGTGGGTATTGATACGATGTATGTGTATTGATGAACCCAGTATTCAACCGACATCATACTTCATGCCATTTTAACAAAAAAAAATCACGTATGAAAAAAAAAAACTTGTATCATACTCTATATTCCCTCTACACCGTGAGGAAAAGCTAGGCAAGTAATGCTTTTCTTTCTTCCCAAGTAATTGAGCTCTCCTAGTTGAATGGTGTCATTGATCCACCAAGCACACCACAATTATATCTTCCCATCATCCTTCCATGTGGCTGTAATGGTAGGTGTTGCAATGCCACCATTTCTCATCTCCCTCCAGCAAACAAAGTTATATGGCCATTCAATTTATTTACCATTTACAAATAATGCATGAGTTGGCTTAAGTGGTGCTCTATCTAAGTTGTTTAGCTCTAGTCACTCACTACCTTTTGCCCATTCAATTACACGTGGAGAAGAGAGGTGGAATATTGAATTCTTGGAAGGAATACAAAGAATTACAATTTTCTAGTTCTGCATTTACCTCCACCAGTCACCATTCTACTCTTATTCTTCCTCTAACAACACATATTATACCCAACCTTCTCTCTTTCCCATGTGGCCAACGTAGAGAAAGACAAGTGTAGCTTTTTACTACCATCAAAGGGTAAAAAACGTGAGCTGGATTAAAAATTCTTCTTACCCATCTCAAGCCATCATTCCCGTTTTCCAACTCACCAGCCATGGGAAGTAAGGTGGCAATATTGGATTCATTTTCCTCTGTTTCATTGGTTTGAATGAAACCAACTCTTCCTCTTTACCACTACCAACTCTCTTCCCCATTAATCTCACTGGCGACACATGGAAATGAGAAGAGGGAGGTAACCATTCATTGCAATTGGGTTGGTTGGAAGGTAAATGTGGGGTCGGTTAGCATGCTAATCCCCTTAGGGT